CACACACACACACACACACACACACACACACACACACACACACACACACTGTATGTTGGATACAGAGACTTACTGCTGATTTGTTCATCTTCTAATGACTGGATGCTAATGCAAGTCCTCTGTTAGGCTTTCTGGTCACATGTGCTGCTGCCTTTGTTTCCACTGTCACTGTGGCTGTTGATAGGGATGGAACTTATCAACTGCAAGCCCTTTCTTTTTTTCCCCCACTTCTTACTTGAACATTTATTTCAGTGCATTTTATGTCGTCATGTGCATGGAAATGGAATGAAAGGTGGGAAAAAGTATTTTAGTCTACCATGGGGCATTTAGCACATACATTTGATATGGTAGTCCTGAACCAATGAGGTTCTCAGATTGGCGTTTCTGATAGATATCGTTCGATTTCGTGAAGCTTTTCATGACATTTCTTACTGTAGGCTATAAGTCTGTGAATATGATGATGTCATGGCTCTCCTATATATGTGGAATAGTAGTTGTGATCCGGTTTTGCTTTTCTTGTGTCCCATGCCCCCCTGCCCCAGGTCTGCCTTACTGACCTCATTGATGGTCCTTATTTTTGGTTAACCATCTCAGTTGTTGCTTGTCTCTTCATGATAATATCTCTTTTTTACCCTTTGTTTAAAGGGGGGGGGGGGGGATTATTATTGTTTTCGATGCTTTTCTATGAAAGTTGTTGTACATCTGTATGCCGTTTATGTGCTTAACACTTTGTATGCTGATGATACTCTTCTTGCATTTTATTGTGGTATAGTTTATTTCCTGTACAACTGGAAGGATGTGGGTGGGGTGGGCGCTACTTTAGTTCTACCCTACTTCCTTTCTGTGCTGCAATGTTGTCTTTTTCCTGGCAAAATATGCTCAATATCTTGCTGGCTTTCCAGGAAGCATATTTTGGTATCGTGTGGCCAAGTTTTGCAATACTTTTCTTTGAAAGTACTGTCTACGTTGTTGGTGATGTCATAAATAATCTAAGGGTGCGTGAAGCAGTTCTCACAAGTGTTGGAAGAAAAGACTTAAAAAACAGTCAGAGAGAAAGATTCATATTTCTTTAATAGGGAAATACAGGCCTTGAGAATTGTTCAGTTATTCTTTCCTCAACCTTAGTGTTTACCCTGAATTCAAACCAATTCCAAGGCACCATCTTGAGTAATAATTATCCAGTCTACTCGAATGTTTTGGGAAGTGTAACATTGTTGTATTTTAAGTTAATTTTTATTTGAGTGGCCCTGGTTGTGTTTCTTCATGCATGTACACACCTTTATCTAATTCCAAAAAGTTTAAATGTATCATTATTGAGTTTAAACATTTTATAAAAGTATCAGGGGTCTGTAAAATTCTATCATCTGTCATGGAATTACCTAAGTTGTATTGAATTAGCTTTAAAAAAAAAGTTTTTCCATCAAGATGGCCTCTGGTGAGAGTAATATTTGAAGTGTTTTAGAGATAGTTTTTGGTGAAGGATATTTTTCCTTTTTTGAGAAGTCTTGCTAAATACACAAAAATGGTGAAGGATATTTTTCCTTTTTTGAGAAGTCTTGCTAAATACACAAAAATGGTGAAGGATATTTTTCCGTTTTTGCATTTTTGAGAAGTCTTTTTAATTGTTTAAAAACAACAACAACCTGGTCTATTTAATTCTACACAGTGTTGCATTGTGGACATTTTAGTATGACAACTAATGTTATCTCTGAAAGTCATACAGTTGCACTTTAAGAGGTTATTACAGATCTTGAACATGAAGTCGAGGGCGTGGGGTTAAAATGCGGCAGTACATTTTGATGGAAACATGACAGGTCATTTCTGTGATTCTAATAATACTCAGCACTGCCTGTCCTGTAGGTTCACACTGTATCTTTCTGCTTGTCTAACATCTGGGACACAATCACTATCAACTTGTCATGTTCTAACCTTCCTTAAATAATATACATGTTGTGAAAATGTTTTAATCCTATTGTCATGACAAAAAGTGGTACAGGTGTGTATTATAATATAATATATATATACTTCACATTATTCCTTTTTGATCTCATGCATATCATTTTGTTTTGTTAGTAATAGGGCCCTTTCAGTTCATCACTTTCAAGCTGTTTTGCTCAAATAGTAGGCTACTTTTTATTTATGTTTTTTGAACTGGTTATTTCTCTCAGTCATCTTTGATGTATTATTCATTTGATTCATTGGGAACAATATGTGGGAAGGGTTTAAGTATTACAAAGTATTTCTCATGCTTGCCTATGTTTTTATTGGTTCCAGATTGAAGGACTACTTTCAACACAAGCTTGTATCTTTCAAAAGACTACTCTCATGCCACAGCTTTGATATTTGGGTGTTGTTTTTTTTGTTCCTTTCAGTTTAGGTCTCTTGAATAAAAAATAATTGTAGATATTAGTGCAAGCATATTTGATGTATCCCCTCATTCATATGGTAATTGCCCTCTTTGGTAGATTATGTACATTGTATTTGGTGGTACCTTTATGTTCTTTGACATCAGCACTTTTGTTTCCTGATCTCAGTGTTTGGCAGGATCTGTGTGAGTTTTTTCCTTTTTCTTCCTTTAAAAAAAAAAAATTGGGTTTATGTACAGGAAAAGAATGATGAAAGAGTGTGGAGACTCTTTATAATATTTTAAAATGTTTTTTCTCTCTGTTTCTCCCACAGCCTTTCATGTCACCCAGGTATCCCGGTGGTCCACGAGTTCCTGTTCGAATGCCTAATCAAGTCGATTTCAACACAGTAAGTAGTTCACTTTCATAGGCTCTTCTGTGATCATCCTGGGGTGGGGGGTTTACATTTTGTAAAACTTTTACTGACTCTTCTGCTGTAGTATGGTTCTGACTGTAAGTGATTGCTTGCAATTGTTTACAGATTTCAACTTCATACTCGATTAAAATAGGAAACTTCACTTTTGTCAATTCCTTTTTTTTTTGGG